TACATGCAAAACAAATGAGAACGAATATATGCTTATTCTCTAAATCGCTATGCATAAGTCGAAACCAGCGACTTTAGCGCCCGACGAGACCTTAGACGACGTTATACGTATATACGCCCAGTACTGCAGCAGATGAAAATTTAGTTCTTTTCCTTTTTTCAAATTATTTTTAGGATAGCGGTCATGGGCATATAATTTTCTTACTTATTCATGTCTACTTTGATAACAGATCCCTTATCCAAAATTAGCTCGTTAATTTCGAAATGTAAATCTTGTTCCCGCTCTGCTGATCATGTCATTAGACAGTGTGCTATTTTTAATATCGAATCACTACTTGAAATGGAATCACCGCGCCCGTCCCAATTAGCTATTAAATCTTATACAGTTAGTTGAACACAAACAATATTTGATGAATTCATGATTCTTCACAATGTAATCTCCACTAACCAGATGAATGTCGCTACGGCAATCGTTCGCATTCGAGTGTCAATCAACAAACAAAATTTCAACGAAACACAAAGTCCCTCTCAAACACATACTGCCTTAAAAATATTTTATCATGTGTGTACGCAACGGGCATGTAGAGCATAATAAAATCAATTCGAGCCCTCCACCGCCCGTTAATAAGCCTAATAAACTAGCCACGGGAGGTATTTCGGCGCAGTCATATGGCGCGTATTTTTGTCTACCATATCAAACGAGATGCATCAGCCGTACTACGTTCAATCTACGTTATCTCAATGAAGAAATAATATCGTGTGTTTGCTACACATCGTTTACATACATATCGTTGTGGAGAAAAGTGCATATATTTAAGTAAAATTTGATATAACAATTGGTTGTAATAGACATACATATATCTCAAAAGTATTATTCAGCTTAAGGATAATGATTTAGCAAAAGTATAAATAAATTATGATCATTAAAAAATTCATAAGTACAGTCAACGTTGTCAGATGTTATGGGCCACCTCACTAGGTCCAACCATGTAAATTTCTTTGTCTTAGACCCAGCAATGCTAGTTACGTAGATTAAGTTAATTTTCTGTGCGCTAAACCGCTTGAAATAGATTAAATATTGATGAGTATGTATAATCGACTACCGAATGCGCAACGTCGTTAAATCTAGTATTTCTTTATTCTGAATATCTACAAGTTAGCGCAGAGTAGGCCACAAAGTAGGGCAGACTTTTTATAAAATTCCGACTCGCAACAAAAATTCAAATGCACTTACGAGTTCAATTTATTCAAGTCTTGCCCCTTGATTTAGCAAAGTTCGAAGCAAAATTTGTTTTCTTGCCATTGATTTCTCTTTTCATTACCTTGCCAGTTGGATCGTAGGGAGCATTCTGTAGGTGGAATTTCACTCGAGACCCTCAATAGCCGGGTGCTAAGAATTAGTAAACGCTTTCCGAAATTCTGAGTTTTCACATATTCCGCCTGATATCTACACGAGCTACAATAACAATAACCCGAATCAGTTTACAGCCATTTGGAAAGTATGAGAAAGGCGATACCATCCCGTTTTCATATTCATATTACACACAAAGGCAACTATACAAAGCTATACGAGCAAAAACCCAAAAAAGTTTTGTTAAAGAAAACAGAATTGCGTTTAGTTTATGCTCCACTGCGTGCTTGCACTCCGCCCGATTTGGCCCATTTTAAATACCAACACGCGTGTAAAAACTTCCAAAGTTTCTATCAAATTTGAAGTCGATATCTCCATTTGTGCCGGGCCAACAAGATACACCACAAACACGTACAGGCGGACAGACATGGTTAAGTTAATTCACAATTTCACACTAACCAAGAATATGGTATCTCTGAAGCTTCCTTTTGAGTATGAAATTTATTATAGAAAAAAATAAAATGAGTATACCGCCATCTTACAGTGGTGGATATGAATATATATATATATATAAAAAATTGCAAAAAGTTAATAGAAATTAATGAGATTATCTTTTTTATTCACAGCGCATATTAATATCAACCAATAAATTAACCCATTGTTGGTGACTTTGTAGGCCATATTAGTATTGATCCAACTAAGATAATAATAAACATCAGTGTACCGTTCCAGACAAGCGTCGTGATTCATTGCGATGCCGACTATATTGTCTTTTAAAAGATATTATAATAATTGATTTTTATAAAAACTCATGAACATAACTTATATACCATTGCATATTAGAGGAGCACCGGAATCGCATAATCCTGTCCAATTTTTCATAGTATTTAGGGGACTTGCACAAATTACGCCAGGATCTTCTCCACATGGTGTGATCAAATAATCGGTGCATAAAATTTCATCAACTTGAGGTCCATTCTAAATATAAATATATATATACTCGTAAATAATCGACAGTCGGCCATGAAAAGTGATGTTTTGTTCACTTACAATATAAAAACTGCCCCAGCCACACGTTGAACATGAAGTATGTGGAAGTGCTTGCTTTTTTGGTAAATTTAACGGCCAGACTAAATCATCATATAGAGTGAATTCTTTGTCAAGTTCAACTAAAGCGATATCGCAATAGCTATACAGACCATTCCAACAATCGTTTAAAATAGCACGTTTTGCTTTTCGTGTTTGCGTTGAGCTCGTTACCCATAAACGTCGCCTTTGCCCGGCCACAACATCAACCCCAATAAGCTTTTGCGACATATCACTAATATAAGGATAAATTTTAAAAATAACTATTTGTTTGAAAAAAGCTACAGACATACCCACTCTTAGAATGAAAACAATGAGCGGCGGTTAATACTAAATCCGCACGTATTATGCAACCAACGCAGTGATATGTTTGATTCAATCTTATGGACACAACATATTTACTAAAATCCTCATAGCCGTCCGAATCGTCAGTCTCATTATCATTTGACGCCAAGAATATATAATCGCCTTCAGGGTCAAAGATATTTTGTACTATTGCTTCATTGCTATGATCTGTCTTATAATAAAAAGTCGTGCCGTAGTCTTCGGTAGGATCTTCATAACTCACAGCATTACCGGTCGCATAATTATCAGCATAATCAATAGTTTTATTATATTCACTATCGTTTATCGTAAATAATATAAAAATAAAATTTATAAACAAACAATTTTTAAAAAAACTTGACATTTTCTTTTACATATTAAGAAAATATTCAAAAAATGTACAAAGAAATAAATAAAAGTTGAACGCTATCGAAAAGGTAACGCATTGATTGAGAAACTTGAAAACTTCATTTTAGAACTCGAGACAAGGGTGTATTTATATTGCTCCCTGTTTTCATACTCACAGAGTTATGCACATTAATATTCTTAATCGCTTGTGTAAATTGTGATAATAAGAGATAAGATTTTCTTTAATTCAATAAGAATTGTTCAGAGATCAAATAGCTGGCAGCCATACCAAGCATTTAGATTATAGTAAAGTAATTCTATTTACTGTTTAATAACATTATTACGAAAATTCGATGAAGAGTGCTTAATAAATCTCTTGGAAAAGAAATTTGGAACATGTGAAGAGTAATAGTAGCCTTTACTTGTCTGGATCATGGAATAAATTCGCCTTCAGTAACAAATGGCCAACGAAAAGATTAACAAAATTTTAGTTAAATCGAGAATGTAAGAATATAACGGAAGGTTATTGCTCTTCGTCAGTCCGGTTTGGGTAGAATGGGCAAGTCTTTGATCGCGGGTTCAATTGTCAATGCGGTGGAGTTTTTCGTAGTGAGTGGTCATTCGGTAAAGCCGTAACACTTAACGATTGGGTATACACCCCACCCACTAATCTGCGTGCACTTTCTTACTATCTTTTCGCACTTCTCTCCGCAGAATGAGTGATTGACTTCATAATTACTGCTTATCGATGGCAGGCTAATAAGACAATAACTCCGGATTACTCTCTCCGGAACGTGAACATCAATCTCGCCCAATAAAAACGGCGTACTAGGTTCATCAGACAGCGCTTTTATATTAAACGAGATGTACAAACAGCTACGAGCACTCTCCAAGCTATGAAGATGAATAAGCTTAAAATAACTCCCATAAGGAAGCAGCGGTTCTGCCAGTTTCCATACTAAGCCCCGCAAACCAAATTTTATAAAAACTTTTTGCGCAGACTCAATCTGATAAATGTAGCGCCTATAGCTCGGCGACCACACCACCAAGGAACTCTCCGTTATAGCTCCAACAAGTGCGTTATTACTATAAGGCTCGATAAATGCAAGCTAAAGCTCAATTTAGAATCGAGCATAAGCCTCAAATTCATGAAGTTCGAAATAGACTCTACCTTATGAGTACCAATATAACGATCCATACCAATGGGAACTTCTGGAAACGAAAAGTTTGCTATAGCCGAGAGAGATGGTTTGCGATATTCAAAGTAGAAGAAGAAGAAGAACTAAAGACTTGAAAAGAAATAGTCTTAAATGGTTCGTGTAACTTCGTAAATGATTTTTGTTTGTTGTTGTAAATTCACAATCCAATGGAGTGAATCTAAATTAAGGAACGGAAAACGGACAAAATGTTACCACAGGAAATATTAAGTATGAAAAAAATGTATTCAGGCGGAATGACTTGGTTTCGGCGTTCGTTTTAAACGTTACTTATCAAAACATTGTATTATCGAAACGTAGTATATAACAGTAAATATGAAAAATTTTAAGACTAATTAATTTAATGGAAATTCCATATACACCCATACAAGTCAATTGTAACTAAATTAAAGGCTTTAGGAAAATCCCTTTCATTCAAAATAGAGAAAGATTAAAAAAAAAAAAAACCGGTTACTCCACCCAGCTAAACAATAAGATTAATGCCTTTGCTGGTTTTAATAATGCTCTGGATTATTTTAAGTAGAGTTTTCCCGTGTATGCATGTAACCTTCAGAAGCACTTAAGATAGCCTCACCTTTTATTACTCTAATCGATTTAGAATCACTTCCCGATTTGATCCAACTGTGTCTATGTGTATGTTCACCTTTCCCTTTATCGATCCGGTTTTCTTGCGTTCAGCCTATAACGAGTAGTTTCTGAGATATATTGATGAAATTTTGCACATTAACGTATTTTCGGCTCAAGGACGACCGCTAATGAAAAAGGTTCAGATCAATCCACTTTTTCGACCACTTGCCAATGCCTCATTTTAGAAAATCATTATGTGAAAAAATTGTCTAATTTTCAAAATTTCCCTTTCAAAAATTTAGAAGTTCTATATTGCTGCGAAAAATTAGGATCGGAGAGGGCACCCTCTCATATAAGAGCCTCCCTCTCTCGTATAAGAGTGACTAGGAAAACTGTACCCGAATAAAAAGATCTAATTTTCAATATTTCATGGTAAAAATCAAGCTTAAGAAATTTTGTGTAGCTTACTTAATAGTGGATCATGGCTTAATACTTACACTAGTATTTTTTTTTTTTTATTAATAAATAAGAACACAAGTCGGTTTTTTCTCTTTTTCTGGTCTTTTTTTTGCTGCTATATCTAATCACTCAGACGGCAATGATCGCAGCACTAGCTATATGCCTAATCGTTAAGAACTATGAGTGCTGAGGACTCATTATAGATACGACTATACTGAAATTTGAACCCGCGAGCACTGACACCGTAGTCACGATTCTAAAATTGCATAATTCTTAATATATTTGTTAATTTTTATTATTTCAATATCCAGTGTAGTGTTGATAAGCGGTACGGCTAAGTAAGCGTAAGCCTATAATCGTCCGAGAAAGACACCGGGAATTACGTTTCTAGCAAATTTTTTTTAAGAGGCTTTAGAACAAGTTTTAAAATGGATTATGAAACCGTTCGTATAGGAAAATGCAACAAACAAAGGATGATTTTTCTCCCATTGTTAAAAATTAAAATTTACGTTCAGTCTTTGCATTTAACCTCTGATATTTTCTCATATTAAGATATCCTAAATAAATTGTAAAGACAAACTAAAAAGTCGTCGCAAAGTCGTTGCAGACAATGAATAATGATCGCGAGACATTTGCATATGTTTATTATATGTTAGGAATTTCTGTCAAATAAAATCTATGTGCGTAAAAATATCTTGCCCTCTACACTGCAGTACGTTTGTTAAAGAATATAAATAAATGTGACACATTTATCGAACCCTTTTGTTATTGTCCTCTTGACTCGCTCAACAATGTATCACATTTCAGCATCCTGCACATAATTGAAACGTATATGGTTGTGCTCTATGATAACGCATCGTTGAAACTGTACTCGTTGAGCATTTCAAATACTTTAAAATGGTTATATGTAAACTAATTGTAAATTTTTGCAAAATAAATAAATTTTCATCATTACACACACACATAAAAGTTAAACACTTAATTGTAAAATTCTAAAATTTCTATCTAAGTTCTACGATTACAGAATAAAGCTATCATTCTTTTTTGCACGCAATTAATGATTACTGCGCTTACGATCGAGTGAGGGTTTGTGCAAATTGAAGTCTGAGCCCTTCGAAGTCCATTAAATCATCTTCTTCTTTCTTTTTAAACCTTTATTAATGCACTAAAGAAAAGTTTATTCTTTCTGTTTACAAAATTTGCAATTCATTACATACATATATATGGTCAATAAGAGTTCATTAATCTAAAGTCGAGCCTCCTTCTGAACTGAGTCATATCAAAACACGAATTTCAAATTGATATCATTTGAGATTGTGGTCGATTTGGATTTATTGCTAAAACAAGTAAAAACACTATAGTGGGACACGGCGCATAATTAAGTACCCTACACCAATCTATTTAATGCGGTTATTCATATAACGACATTTTAAAGTTCGGCTTTATATGGAATGTGGTCGAAAATGTAGTGCGATCCGTACTATTTTCAATAGCTCTCATCGTTGGGCCAAAAACATGTCAGTGTACATGGTTTCATTAAATTATTTCAAAAACTTTGCTACATGTAAGTCGAACATAATAAAGCAAGATGGATAAACTGACGTACAATTTTAAAAGGTTTGTAAAGCTTCGAATTTTCTTGAGCACACTTTCAACCAGATCGTGCCATCTTTCAAGCACCTTGTCTTTTCAAATTAATCTGAGTTTACTTGTACCTAGTTTCTCCTTATTGTCATGATTTTTTTTGTTTGCCAAATACTAATACCAATCAATAACTTCTGCTACGGTTTTCATCGTAAAATTATTCGCCATTGTTTCGCTGCCTTTATTGCTTTTTATTGCAAAGAAGTTGATTTGAAGTATTTATCAATACCCTAATAGGCTTTATCGTAGTATATGAAAGACTTGAGTGCCGCTGATATATGTTTTTATCACCGGTGGTTTAACTTTTAATGTCAAGCCCTATAACTGGGGATTAGCAAAGATTAAACCTGCACACTTAATTAGTGGAGAAATGCCGAAATAAACAAGCGTCCGCACCTAACGTCAGAAGTGATTGGCAAGTGAGTTTTATAACATTTCACCAGGTAAGGAGATGAATGGGCAACTCTAAAATAAAAAATCGAGTCCCAATCGTAATCGTTAAATTATTAATTTTATGATTATCCTAATTTAAGAGAAAAAGGCGTGGCGGACTTATAGCACGATTGATTTGAATGATATATAAAAACGAAATATGAAAAAGTAATAAAATAAAAGAAGTAAGAACATTAAAGTCGGATAATACCAAACTTTAGACATCCTACACCACTTCACCCGGCGTAGTTATTCACCAGGCATACTTTTCATGAAATCCCCCATACTGGAGTTTGTCTAAAATATCGGTGACGTGATCCAAATTTTGCAAACTTAATTTACTTCTCAAATAAATTAATAGCTTTTAGTTTCCATCATAAAAAAAGTACTAATTAGGTTTTCTCTCCATATACGTGCTTGCTTTTCTGTATGTGCTGGGGTCTAAAAAATAGATCTATGTGATCTAAATTCCCTGGCTACTATGGGCCTATTAAAAATGAAACCTTTTTATGAAGGACAAATTATTGAAAAAAATTATTGGAAAATCTTATGTGGAGGGTCCATGATATGGACTTGTGTGGTCCAAATTTGGTCCACTCACCTTTTACGTCAACTTACCATCATGAAAAAATTGTCATCATGAACCATTAACAATTAAGGCTTTTTGGCATATAAAGGTTTACATTTCCTGAGAATGCTTATACGGGGTGTTATTCAAAAAATAGACCAGTGTGATGCAAATTCGGGAAGATTTATTTCTTTGTCAATTTACCATTATGAGCCAATTTTCACGATTAAACATTGAAAATTTTACCATTTTACCATAAAAAAAAATTCAGTTTTCGCAGCAACTTTTCTTCCGAAATTCTGAAAATTCGAATTTTTTTTTACACAATCACTTAACAAAATATTAGCGATCGAAACCGTTTTTAATAGCTTTCGTCCTTGGATCAAAAGACGTGAGTGCAGAAAATTTTATTAAAATATCTCGAAAATTGCGACCTGCAAGTTGAGCGCAAGATTACATGGACAGACACCTTAGAGAGAATTGATCAGCATAATTAAGCTATCCGGGGTGTTACGTAAGTCCGCATAAACTTAAAATATCGTATATTACAAGTAGTGTGGAGTATAAAAATTTACTAAGACTAACCTCCAAGTTTACTAAGGTCCAGACAAATAACTTTCTGTTCACAGTGGAACCTTTTTTTTTTTTGGTGACTCGTTGAATTTTTGAAAAGAAGAAGAATATCTTTTGATAAAAAGAATTCTTGTACTAAATTTTATTAAATTTTAAACATTATTAATAAGCAATCGAATAGCTTATGTATATATGCTATGTTTCTATAAGAAAACAGATGGATGCATAGGGCGATGAATGTGAAGTGAAACGGTCGATATCACCAAATCGTTTCTTTACTATGAAAAAGCATATATGTAAACTTTTTCGAACCTTTAATTCATTTATCAAAATCTTAAAAACTCACTAAACTATCCCCGAATGATCTGCGATAAGCATTTTATAATAAAACTACTGAAAATTAATAATCTTTAAAAAAATCCTTAAATCAATAACGTTTGCACAGTGCGCCATTTAATTTAAAGCATAAACTCCCGGAGAGAAAATGAAAAATAAATGAAAAAAAAAAAAAAAAGAACTTTTCGCATGGTAAACATGTTATAGAGTCTTATGTACATAGCTTCCTGTTGCCAGCCAAAGGTTCCATTTAAATCATTTGTAAATTCAATTGTCTGACTATTGCTGATAAACTGTAACAAACAAAACACAAGGGAACTACAACTGTTTACAAAGTCATGCGCTCTCTCTTTCTCATTCTCTCTCTCATTCTCTTTCCGTTTCTCTATTTACCTGTTTTACTCTTACTTCATCACACACGTAATTGAGTTGAAGATTGCATTAAAATCACCTACAAAATCTTTTCGAAAGATGTCTTCATGTAAACAATACTTGTTTTATACGCTTACTCTTTGTTTGCAGAGCTCAATAATAAACGATACGGAACGTAAAGAATTTGTGATTTTCTTTGTATTCTTTGTTTTTTATTTTTAAATTTTGTAAAGATTGCTAGCAATTTATTGACACCGAACGTGTTGCATGACTGTATGTATTGCAAGGATCTAGGCTACAAAAAAAAAAACCAAAAAAAAAAATCAATAAACTTAACTCAAATAAAACGCATAAAATACAATAAATATTAAATAAAATGCAAAAGATAAATATCTACTTACATTACAGCGAATCTTGGTTACGAATCATCTCAAATGGACGTTTCAGGCAAATGGTCGGTGTTGTTACATATTAAAACTTCTTAAGACTTCAAATTAATATGTGATAAGACTTTTAGCTTTTCATGAGAATATTTTTGAATTTTTTAAATATTTTTGAATGTAGTAGGCGTGTCATTGAATGAATTACGATTAGATCCGTGTTCTGATACTTGTAAAGCACTGTTTCAATATTATTTGTGCCAAGCAGGGGACGTCTTAAGTCTCTCCTAATACCTAAACGTCAGAAGAGGAAAAAGATCTAAGACGTCTAACAGATGTGATTAAGTTAAGCTAGAATCTCAAGCGTTTCAAAAAAAACATGTTTATTTTACGAACATTCTCTCTCCTCTTCTTTTCTTTACTAGGGCCTTCTTCTTCTTTGTTTTTTGGTTCAAGCATTATTTTTTTTTTTGATTTTTTCCTTATCATTATTATTATTATTATTATTATTAATTTAGCCAGAGAAGTAAATCCCAACACTAAAGTCTTAAAGCATCTAAGGCTCTCGGCATTATTGAAAACTCTACTGCACTTGCGATTTGAACCTACGACAATTGAGTTGGTAGTCGAGACTTTTTTGCTTACTGAGCCAATGAGGCTCAAGTAAAAGAAATTTGCTTGTTTACAAAATAAAATGAAGCTTCATCTGCTGCTACAACTTTTCACCGTATGTCATGCTCGTATCTCTCTGGATTCCTGCCCTAAAGAAAACAATATCTCTCTAAGCGAAACAAACATTAAGCCAAATTTCGATCTCTATGGAAGAATTGGACGATTGTTTTGAAGTATTTAGCAAACTGAAAGAGCTATGTTTGTTGAGTAAGGCGGGCGGGGTAGAATTTCCCAGTTCTGCGCTTTTAAGTAAGTTTTCAAAATGTTCCCAACATGTGGTTCCGCATTGTCACACTGCAAAAGTAGATTTCTTGTGTCTACACACGCATTGCGGTCGTTTCTCCTTCACAGCTCGTTTGAAATATGTCAGTTGTCGTCAATAGATATCACAACGACACACTTTTCTGATTTCACCCGACATAGAGAAAATCTCTCAGCAACTTCATCAGCCTTCACCCAATCTTTTTTACAGTCAAGATTCTCATAAAAAATTGGTTTTTCGTATCCAGTAACAATTCGATGCAAAAACTTGTTCTTCGTTTTCTTTGAGACAGCATTTCACGTATTTCCTTTAATTTATGTGGAACATAATTGCTGGCCCCTTTAATCACTGCCGTTCTTCATGTATCATATTTCCCCTCGCTGATCGTAACTTTGCTACTAAGAAATCGGGAAAAAGATATATAGTGCTTTCCTTTCGGCTTATAAAATGGGCGAAATGTCCTGTTTTGCTCGTTATTATTCAATATTTTAAAGAACAATATGCCTCACGCTCACTGAAAACTGTAAAGTTAAGGTTATGCGATGTTGTACACATATCGTGTGCTATGTCGATGATTTTTGATTTTAACACTCGGATGACCATTCTTCGAAAACATTGAAAACAACAATGTATGATATATCAAAGGGATTATTATATAAGCAACAAAAGTAGGTTTTTGTTTCTCAAACTTTTATCGGGTTGTTAGATAATCTATACATAAACCGATTTAACTGGATCTGGGAAAAACCGATTCAAAGTCAGAGTTTTCGTAAAAGTGTTTTTTTTATAAAAAATCAACAAAACGTAATCGTGTTTTCGACGAACAAACCTAGCGTGGCAAAATCAATTGATGGATTTTTATTACCATCATCAATACTCTAATATTCTATCTTCTTCCTTTTCCGTAAATTTCAATATAAACATCAATATAGTAGCGACGTGATGATATGATAAAACTAATCAATGTTGTATGCCGGATAATGTTTTGCATTACAAATAAGTTGAGGAAATTAATTTTTATTGTTTTTGTGAGCGTTAGTTAGTTTCAATTGATGTATTAGTCTTACTAGAAGCGAAAAAAAATTAAAAAAAAATTTTTTTTTTAATTTATGTAAAAATATATATATAAAAAAAAAATAAAAAATAAAAATAGCAATGAAACTTTTTTAATTAAAACAAAAAGAAAATGAATTTGAAACTTTGTTAAACTTTCTTAAGTGTTTACACTTAAAAGAAGATGATTATGATCGCAAACAATACCCGCAATTTAAGTTGTATAGACCTTAGCAACTAACTGCATTAGCTAGTTCGTGACCAAAATGTCATTCAGTCAACATAATTCACACTTTTCCCCTTATACTTACTTTTTTATACTTGTAACTGATAATCACACAGCAAGCATGCACAGCCTGGGTTTACTCGCATGTCGCTTTATTTCATGTATCACGTAATATGAAAAGAAAAATCAAAAGTCACTCTCAACAACTTGTTATCAGAGTTGCTCGCTAAAATCATACAGATGTGGCAGTGAATACGCCAATGAAATGCTGTGCCATAGTAATATGTGTATAAA